ATCCCCCAATGGTGTCCCGACCACAGCTTTGTCAACCATCGATCGGCACGACTACAGATCATAAGATATTTAACAAAAATCTATCAAACATTTGTTTTAATGTCAGGTTTACTCCTCTGAGGTTTTGAGCAGCATTTAAGAAATCAGACTTGCAGCTCTATGGATTCACGATGCTGTTGCTTTCGACGCCCACGAAGTCGGCTCTGCTCGACCTAACCGTTTCCTCGAAAGTTTGACGGTGAAGTTCTCGTCAACGTTTTCTACGGTTCTCAAACTGAGGAACACCGATCCCGTCAGTGGCGCTCTGGAGATATTTTGGTGTTGACGAGTAAAACGGGAAGAACACGTGAGTTCCACACAAAAAGACTCCAGATGAGAGGCAATCAACTGTGGCTTATCTGAATTTGACTCCTCGAAGCAGGCCGACTTGTCAAATTTCTCCTGGGATATGTGTAAACTATCGTAACCCCCCCGAGAACTTCTGTGAATGCTTAGAGCCGTACTGACCGACACCACCATCTTATCAGGACTATGGTCTATCTGGATGTGCTTCATGGACAAATCTCACCATCTTGTTGTCAAATGCAAATGTAATGTGTTTATAAATGTGCTGCTGGTAGTTTTTTGATGTCTTAAATCGGGTCCTGATAAGGACATGGTGTGAAGAGTACTTTTTATACCACTATCCTCTCCTCATGGCCTTTTACCCATTTCCCATCCAAAAGAATAAGGGGACATGCTCTTAGGAGCAGCAGCAACGTGCACTCTGCCCATCTTTCAGACAAATGTATGAAGATAATCTCACTGTATTTTGGTACAATGATAATAAAGCTTATTCTGATTCTGTCCGTGCAGGAAGAGTCAAAGCATGGAACAAGATAACGCCCGATAGGAAGAAGCACCTGAACGGATCCATGCGTGAAAGCGAGTTTTGGATGAGATGTTTGCTGTAAGAAAGGGGGAGCTGAATTAGAGGCGTGCTGTGACACACAGAGATGCAGGCGGTGTCTTGGAGAGAGATACAGCAACACCTTATCGATTGTTTGAGGAGCAATAGCTTCACCTCGACCCTCGTTTCAGTGTTTGTTTCTCAGCAGCCTGCCGTCCTCTGAGTCTGGGGATCATGTACTTCACACAAAAACTGAAGGAACTGGAACATTTACTGTATGTGGTTCCACCTGTGTTTTATAGATGGTTCATCCATCTGTCCATCCATCAATCTATCCATCCATCCATATACTGTATCAATCCATTCATCCATCCATTCATATATCAATGCATCCATCCATCCCTCCCTCTCCCCAGAGATACTCTATTGCTCCTCCTTGGGATCACAATGTGTCCCCAGACCACAGAAGATAAAATCCTCTCAGGGAGCCCTGGGCATACCACAGGGCAGGGTCGGCCATGTTTTCAGGCCTCCTTCTTAAGGTCTTTCCTGTTTATTGAACAAATTTAAATCCAGCCTGGAGCCAGGTTTCGTTTTAAAACAAGATGCCCCATGCTGGATTCTGTTCCCCTGCAGCTGCTCAGTGGCCTCAGCATGCATGTGATGATCCCAACATGCAAAACAAGAAATCTACAGCTGGAAAAAAAAAACTGCTGGCTGTGTCCGGACCTGATAGAGGTTCTACCTGAACATCTGCTCGTCTTTCTGTCCTTCATAGAAACATCTGCAGGTCCTCCTGCCAGGAGTCCCATCACAGCCCAGATCCTCCAGAACATTTGGACAAATCTGTGTCATTGTTTCGTTTAGTGAAAGCTGGTTGTAGTTTCCTCCGAGTTTTTTATTCATTTATTGCAATAAACTATGAGCGTACTTTCTGCTACTGTAACCATCCATATGTTAATCAAGAATATTGTGCTAAAACTTTAATTATACTTTTTAAAATGTTTAACTTTATTTACAAAAAGAATCCCCTTTGAAATTTTAGCTGAGGTTTGGTCCAGTTTTAGCTTTAAACTACAATTTAACTAATTGTATCTTTTACTTGTGATGTTAGCTTTGATTTTGCTGATTTTTCATTTTAACTATAGTTTGGATCAGCAAAAAAAACAGTTTGCAGTTTTGGAAATTGTAGATTTGAACCCTGGTATTGCTAACTTTAGCATTTAGCTATGGTTTTTCCACTGCTGGTTTTCCTATTTTAGCTTGTTACTCTTATGCTCAGTTTAGCTTGTGGTCTGAATATAGTTTGTTCTGATTGTTTTAGCTTGTGTTCTGATTGGTTAACTTATGTTATGCTCATTTTAGCTTATGTTCTGATCGTTTTAGCTTATGTTCTGATTGTGTTAGTTTATGTTCCGATCGGTTTAGCAAATGTTCTGATCGTTTTAGCTAGCTTATGTTATGCTCATTTTAGCTTGTATTCTGATTGTTTTAGCTTGTTCTGATTGTTTTAGCTTATATTCCGATCGGTTTAGCAAATGTTCTGATTGTTTTAGCTAGCTTATGTTATGCTCATTTTAGCTTGTATTCTGATTGTTTTAGCTTGTTATGATTGGTTCAGCTAATGACCTGATATGTTATGATTTGTTTTAGCTTGTGTTCTGATCAGTTTAGCTTGTGTTATGATTGTTTTAGCTTGTACTTTACTTGTTATAGCTCATGTTTTGTCCTTTTTGGCATGTGCTCAGATCATTTGAACTTACATTCAAATTGTTTAAAAATAAAAAAGATCAGTTTTTGGTTCTTCAACAAATTTCAACAAAGTCCTTCGGCGCTCATTGTTTGGTTTTCGTGGTTTCATACGTTTCGAAGTAGCATCTAAACGTGCATGGAAACACAAACACCCGTTTGCGTTTCAATGCTAGAATTCCAGTTTTCTGTTTCTCCTCCCAACACCGCTGCCTGTTGCTGCTGGTTTTCATCTCCACCTAATGGGATGCAGCTCCTTCCTGTTTGTTCGGCTTCTCTGGCCAAAGATCTCTGAAACTGTATGAGAGGGTCTCACAGGGGCCGAGCGGCGCCACGAGCAGCTGCGCTCGGCCTGCTGGAAACATGGAGGAGACGCTCAGAAATGATAATGACCACCGTGTGCCCTGCAGGCACAGAAACACTCCAGTTGATTTCATCGTGTGGGTTTTATCCCAAAATTCACAAAATGACGAGAAGACGCATCAGGAATGTCTCTCCATAATTTAGCTGCCTGTGATGCTGGCGCTTAAATTTTATTCTAAATAAATTCTTTTAAATAAAACTTCATATTTTGGTTTTGTTTCCTGTGGTGTGATTTCACCATTTTTCTAAAATGTCTGTGCCATGTTTTTAAAAACAGACACAAAGAACGAGTGAAGATTAAATACCAGAACGTAAAAGCAGCTAAAACAGGCTCATTATAAATGTATGTATTTAAATTATGGGTTCGTTTGGTTTAGACATTTAAACTACCTATTTATGGTTAAGAAACTTTTATTTAAACTATCCATGTTGTTTCCCACCTATAGTTGTTGTATTGTAAAAATACTGTTTTTTTAATTAAAGATAAATTGCACTGTACATTTGTTCTCTGTACATTAAAATGTATTTTAAAAACCATATGAATTATTGAATTTAATTCAAAATAAAATAAAGTTCTCCTGAATAACTTTGGCCCTTAAATATACAAGTTTTACAGTTACAGATTATTTAATACTTTACAATTGTTAACACTTGTCAGACATTTCCATTAAAAATACTTTTTTTTTGTTGAGTTTTGAGTCGTATTTTGTCACATTTTGCTTCCCAAAACTTGAGCTTTTGTGAACGGATAAAAAAACAAACATTGTTAAACAGATTAAAAGTGATATTTTAATATTTCAGAGCCTTTTTAGGGCTTCATTTAGATTTTTAAAAAATGGGGGAGTGGTGGTGCAGAGGTTAGAGATGGTGGGCCTGTGATCAGAAGGTTGTTGATTCAATGCCCTGGACCGATGATATCGGTATGTGTCAGAGTCAGAGTCAGAGTTTCTTTATTGTCATTCGCACCTCATGTGGTACATGTGGTGGAGCGAAATTATGTACACAGGGTCCCAGTTACATCCAACAATAAAATGTATAAGAAAAACAGTAATAACATCTAAGATATGAACTAAGAAAAACATCAACTAAATATACACTAAGCACTCATAACATAAAACATTGAACATCACCACAAACATGAACATGAGTCTGTGAGCAGATGTGCACGCATGAACACATCAACATTGAAACAGATCAGCAGCAACATGAAACAGATCAGCAGCAACATGATATGGTTTTTCACAGTGATTATTCTAGTTAGAGATTCATGAGTCTAACAGCCTCAGGGTAGAAGCTGTTCCTCAGTCTAGTGGTTCTACACTTAATGCTCCTTAACCTCCTTCCTGAGGGGAGTGGGGCAAAAAGTGTGTGTGCTGGGTGGGTGGGGTCCTTCCTTGTGGGTGGAAAAGGTGAAACACCTGGCTCCACCCTCATTTGCCCCTGTCTGGACCCTTGAGCAAAGTTTTTAACCCCCATCATCTGTTCCCCCAGGCGCCCTAGATGGCAGCTCTCTGCTCCACACAGAGGGCTGTGGTAGCTCGGTGGTCTGCAATTGTGTCAGGAAGGGCATCCGGCATAAAAACAATTGCCAGATTTCATTCAAGTTAGTTCGCTGTGGCGACCCCTGAAGAAGGGAGCAGCCGAAAGAAGAAGAAAAATGTTTCGATTTAAAAAAGAACAATCAGCCTCTTGGGAAAATACATTTTTTAAATGAAAACATTCATCAGAATTGAAATATACAAGAAACAGTTAAAGATTAAAAAAATACTATTAACTTCTAAATAAAGTTCTGTCCATAGCATTAAACAAAACAAAGTTTTTTAATCCCTTTTTCCTAGCTACATTTTCTGTCAGCAATCAAGTGTCCTATTTTCCACAGGACTGTGAATGCAACTAAACACGAAAATCTTATACGAGTGTGGGAGTTGTAGTTTACTTGATAGCAGCTCGCTTTCATCAAGCAAAGTGGAGAACTACAAATCCCAGATTCGTTAACACGGAAGTACCGTTAACAACGCTCGGTCGAGAGAGGCAACATGTCGCGTGCTGGAAAAAAGAGAAAATTAGACAAAAGCCGGCAGGACAGAGTTTATTTTGACAGCTACTCTGATGTGTCGATACACGAAGAAATGATAGCGGACCACGTCCGAACCAACGCGTACCGGACGGCCATTTTTAAAAACAGCGAGCTGATTCGGGGGAAAGTCGTTCTGGACGTCGGAGCGGGAACCGGCGTTTTGAGCATCTTTTGTGCTCAAGCCGGCGCGAGGAAGGTGTTCGCCGTGGAGGCGTGCTCGATAGCCGAGCAGGCGGAGAAGATAGTGAAACAAAACAAGGTGGAGGACCGGGTGGAGGTCATCCGAGGCACGGTGGAGGCCGTGGACCTGCCGGAGCAGGTGGACGTGATAGTAAGCGAGTGGATGGGTTACGCTCTCCTGCACGAGTCCATGCTCAACTCGGTGCTGCACGCGCGGGACCGGTGGCTGAAGCCCGGAGGCCTCATCCTGCCGAGCAGAGCCGAGCTCTACATCGCCCCGGTCAGCGACCCGGTGGTGGAGGACCGCCTGTGCTTCTGGTACACCGTCCAGGACCAGTACGGAGTGGACATGTCCTGCATGGCCGACTTCGCCCTGAAGTGCATCAAGAACTCGGACATCACCGTGAGTACGGTGGCCGGGCAGGACGTGCTCTCCCACCCGGCGCGGTTCGCGGAGCTGGACCTGAGCTCTGTGACGGTGGAGGAGCTGCGCTCCGTGGGGGGTGCGTTCAGGTGCACCTCCTTCGGCTCGGCCACCGTGAACGCTTTCTGTGTGTACTTCACGGTCACTTTCCCCTGCCCGGATAATCCGCTCGTGCTGTCCACGTCCCCGTTCAAACCGGAGACCCACTGGAAGCAGGCGGTGCTGTACCTGGATGATCCGGCGGAAGTGGTGCAGGACACGCCCATCACCGGAAGCGTTAGCATGTACCCCTCAGAGCAAAGCGCCAGACACGTGTGCGTCCATGTGGACTACAATATAGGAGAGCAGAAGACTGAGTCCAAGACTTTCTCCATCCCTGACTGGACCTCTGATGCTCAGTCATAGTGACACTAATAAAGGGATAGTTCAGACATCTTAAAGAGAGGTCATGTGGAAATGTTTAACAATAAACATCTTACCTGCAGTAGATCAGAATTAAGCACACATCTCACGTCATCTGTTAAATTTTAATGTAAAGGTTTATAAAAGAGTTTAAGAACTGTGACAGTTTTTAGCTCAAAGACACAAAGAGTCTACAACAGGTAAGATATTGACAGTTCATAGCTTTTCCGCAGAGCCTCACTTTGAAACGTACAACTCCCAGAGCTCAGGATAACGGAGCAAATGTTGCGTTTATTGTTTCAGCTTCAAAATGTGTTCGCCTGTGGTCAAGGTTCTTCAGAAAATTATTCAAAATGTGAAAAATAAAATACACCGCTGTCCTAAAACGTCTCAAATGATGTGTGTTAGTAAAATATTAGCCCAAACATTCACACTGCACATCTTATTGCTCAAATCTATTTTTTTATTATTTTGGAGTCCTATAGTTTAAATGTTTGTAATGGATCGGTGCACACGTTCAGACTGAGGTGGACAAACCTCAGATCTGGATCAGGTTCAGTGCCACATTTTAAAGAGACCGCTCAGATTTGTCACGTTCAAACACGACTGGCCGAAAATCTTTTATTTCGGCTGATTTTAGCTTTTTGTGAACTAAGAAACTGGTTTGGTCCAAATCAGCCGTCCTGCGACGGGACGCTCTCTGGGGTCCATCTTGTCCAAATTAATAAACTGGACGTCTCCTTTGGAGGTTTAAACCCAGTCCACGCTACAGATTGAAACGTCCAACCCTTTGTCCTCTAGATTGTCCCCATCTGTCCACCCAGCTCGTCCATGGTTGAACTCCATGCACAACTGAAATGACCAGAAGAACACGTTTGCTGAATTGGGATTTAATAAGCAGAAATTATGAAACTGGCAAAAAAAACAAAAAAGCTGAAAAGGCAGAAAGAAGCTCAAACTACCTGAAGGAAATAATGGAAAGAAAAATGACCATAAAAAGTGGAATTGGTTGAAAACCCTGGAAAAAAATAGCACAAAATAGCTAAATAGTAGCTGAAATAACTGAAACTAGCAGAAACTGAAAGGAGCTGAAAATAGTAGAAAGAAATTAATTAGGCTGATTTTTTTCAACTTTATTTATCCAGTTCGTCTCACTGAGTCACAAGAACTCAATTTCTAGAGAGACCTGTTTAGGGAGCAGATTGTGGGGTTAAAGGGCCTTGCTCAGGGGCCCAGAGTCAGGCGAATGAGGGTGGAGGCAGATGTGGGTGTTTCACCTTTTCCACCCACATTTTGATGTTGAACGTAACAGGAGTTGAACCTGTGACTTTCCGATCACAGGCCCGTCTTCTCTAACCTCTGCGCCACCACTCCCCTATAAAAATAAAATAACAGAAATTACCACAAAAAATGTTAGAATTTATCTGAAAACAGCTAAAAAGTTAGCTGAAAACGTAGAACAAGCTTAAATTAGCAGAAGAAACGCGTTTGCCCAATTAGGCTGAAAGAAGCAGAAATTAACATAATTATCTGAAAAGAATGGAAATTATCTGAAAAGAACAAACATTAATTAGCCACAAAAAAAAAACCAGCTGAAAAGTAGCTAAAAAAAATCAGGCAGAAAAGTTTAAATTACGAGATAGACGTGGAGAGAGCACAATTTTGCTGAATTAAGCTGAAAAAAAGTTGAAATGAGTGCAAACTTTGTATTTAGCTGAAAAAGCTAAAATTAGCATAACGGCTAAAGAGTAGCTGCAGAAAAAGCTGAAACTTGTGTAATGAGCTAAAAGGAGCTTAAGTTGAAAGTAGCTGCAGAAAAAGCTGAAACTTGTGTAATGAGCTAAAAGGAGCTTAAGTTGAAATTAGCACAAACAAGTTGGAAGAAGCACAAAAATGTTGTAGTTTTCAGAAAGGATCTGAAACGATCACAAAAAAGCTGAAAGAAGCTGAAACAAAGCAAAATGTGAAAGGAGCAGTAAAATGTAAACACATCTAAAGATTTGAAGGAGGTAAAATTAGCTCAGTTCATTTTCTTTGAGGAAAAAGCTAAATATTTCAAAAAGCTAAAGTTGCACCAAAAGTCAGAGCGCCCTTCTCCTGAACGAGCTGAACGTTTTGATCAATGATTTGTTGGCTAATCACCGACACAAGAAGTAGCCATAACTCAGTTCCAGTTAAAGAAACGGAGCTAAAATCTGTTGTGGTAGTAGCTGAGAGTCATCCTAACAAACACACTGAGTGCTAACCAATCGCACAAGATCTCTGGATTTTGTTCAACCCTCGATGATGTCGGTTCATTTAAAGAATGCAGCAACAGTTAACGTTCTCTTCTCTCAGGGATTCGTAATGAAAAGCTCCGTTCTAAAACTGTATTCCAAAGTAAGATTGACAACGTTGGCAACTTTTGCACAAACGTCTCGGTTTCCCGGCCACTTGGAACAGCAGTGATCGTAATAGTGATGCTGAGCAGACGATACGCGGCTATTTCTGTCAAAGCGTTGCCGACTCTCTCGTGGAGTGTAGTGTTACTCTCAGGTCGGAGCAAGGACACGTCGAGTGAACCTTCGAGTAACGCCAGGAGACCGCGTGAACACCGACTCCGAGACGCTTTGAGCAGCAGATTTGGTTAATTGAACGAGATATTTTAACGTGACAGCTGGAAGGAGCTTTCCATCTCTATAAACTAGCCATAATTTTCAAGGTTCTTTATTGTCATTCGCATCACATGTGGTACATGAGGTGGAACAAAATTGTGAACTCAAGGTAGCTACACGCAAAAATATCAAAAATATAAAGTATTATAAAGAAATGGTATACAGGGATCTAAGATATACGCTAAACAATAATAATATACGGAGTAATAAACAGCAGCCTGAACATGAGTCTACTGTGAGCAGATGGGTACGAATATGCAGCGTATGGGTACGAAATCAGCAGCATGGATAAAGTGTCAAATCACCAATTAAAGTGTCATTACAGTGATTTTCCTGGTTAGAGATTCATGAGTCTAACAGCTTCAGGGTAGAAGCTGTTCCTCAGTCTAGTGGTTCTACACTTAATGCTCCTCAACCTCCTTCCTGAGGGGAGCGGGGCAAAAAGTGTGTGTGCTGGGTGAGTGTGGTCCTTCATGATGCAGGTGGTTCTCTTCCTGCATCTGGAGGTGTAGATGTCTGTGATGTTGGGGAGACTGACTCCAACAGACTTCTGTGCAGCCTTCACCACTTTCTGCAAAGCTTTTCTTTCTGCAGCTGTGCAGCCTCCATGCCACACGTTGATGCTGGAGCACAGGATGCTCTCCACTGCACACCTGTAGAAGGAGGTGAGGACTGAGCTTCCCAGACCAGCTCGCCTCAGCCGCCTGAAGAAGTAGAGTGTGCACACTCAAGAACTTGTAGCTGGAGACCACTTCCAGCACAGATCCTCTTATGTTCATGGTGCAGGGTAGGTGTGTGTTTTTTTTTTTCTGTCAAGTCCACAACCATCTCCTTCGTCTTCACATTGATGTGAAGGTTCTTCCACCTCTTACCTGTAGGTGGACTCATCGTTGTTTCTGATGCATCCTACCAGCGATGTATCGTCTGCAAACTTTGCGCACCTACCCATCCAGGCTGTCATATTGTAGTCATACGTGAGCGGAGTGAACAAGAGGGGGCTCAACACACAGCCCTGAGGGGTGCCAGTGCTGAGCGTTATGGTGGAGGAGGATAATTCACAATTTATATCTACTTTTAAATGTAATAATCTTCCTCAACTAAATGCTTTTTAATATGTTCTAATTCATAACGACTTTAATGAACTCGGTTAGTTATTCTAGCAACACTTCCGAACTGGTCATCTGCAGATATTTGACATAAATGCAGCAACATTTCCCCCCTCCAACAGGTAAAATGAAAATCTAAGAGCTTTGTTGCTGCTGTTCTTGTCCAAGGAGCCTCCCAGTCCTGTTCAGCAGCCGTCCAGTGAACAACGAGCGCTGAAATCAGTTCGATTAAGCACATACTCTATTGATTGTCTGGTAGATTGCTGTGTGATGCAACACGAATAATCTCATTTCAAGTTTCAACACTTGTTTCTAATGGTTTCCAAACGATTTCAGGCAGGAACGGATCACAATTAGTTTAGAATCCACCAGCGGAGAGTGGCCGTGCATACGGGAGTGTGATTCTCCGCTCGACGGAGGCTGCGTTTGACATTTCTATTCTCTGGACGCCTCCCTTTGTTCTGCCTGCAAATCTTTCTGTTCTTTTGTCTACGCTGGGACTCTGAGAAGTTATTGAGCCACTGCGAGTAAAGAACTTAATTTGAGTGGAAACTATATTGATTTACTTTATTCTGATAGGAAAAAGTTGTGCACGTAAATGTCACAGACTGACCTCACTTCCCCGTTTCCCTAAGAACAATAAAATAAGATCCAGTTCCCCCAAACGTCTCGAAAGGCAGAGATGAATGTAAGACTGACGATGACGGTTTGTCACCGTCAACAAAACGTTCCGCGCCCAGGCAGGGAGGTGGAGACTAAACCAACATGTTGAAATGTGGGCGGCACGGTGGATCAGTTGGTAGAGTTGTTGCCACTCAGGGAGAAGGTCGCCGGATCAAATCCTGGCCGGAGACTCTTCTGGGTGGAGTTTGCATGTTCTCTCCGTGCATGTGTGGGTTTTCTCCGGGTACTCCGGTTTCCTCTCACCGACTAAAAACATGCATGTTAGGCTGATTGGTAAATTGTCCCTAGGTGAGTGAGAGGGTGAATGGTTGTCTCTGTGTCCCTCTAATGGACTGGAGACCTGTCCATGGTGTCCCCCGCCTCTCGCACAGTGATGACTGGACATGAGCACCAGCAGGGCCTAACCTGAGCCGGATCCTGCCGGGACAGGATCTGGGAACGCCCTTATTTTGACAGGGTAACTGTTTTTGCTTGGATCCAGTAACTCTCAGGCTTACGAATAATAAAGTTATGACCAAATATGACCGCCTTGAACAAATAAAACTTATGTAGTGGATATGTAAACTGAAAATAATTACCGTACATAAACACTCATTTTAAACACAACAGCCACTTACGACTTCTAGGTAGGATGCTTGACAGAAGCGGAGTGTTTATAAATTTAGGTAAACATAGACATTTAACAACCTGTTAAAATACACCAAAATGCAAGAAACCACATCTACTTTATTCAAAATTTTCTGGGGGAGGACCCCCAGACCCCTGCTCCCCTGCTTCAAACACCCCCATCAGCCGGTCTACATTCCTACACTGTGGTCACAAACTCTGGGTAGTGACAGAAAGATTGAGATAGATAGAGGTGGTCAACATGAGTTTTCTCCTCAGGGTAGCTGGACTCTCCCTTAGAGACACGGTGAGACGTTCAGTTGTCCAGGGGACACTCTGA